CAGCTGCTTCGTTGGCATCTCAGGCACCTAACATCTACTTCTAGAACTTTCTATCTCAACTCAGGAAAACACACACATGCACACACGTCTGTTTTGTTCCATTCTGGAAGAAGCTCTAAGAGAAAAGGTGTGAGGGTTGAGCGTGAAAACAACTCTCCTAAAAAAAAAAAAAAAAGAAAGAAAGAAAACAACTCTCCTTCTCTTCCAAGGGCTGTCCTTGCAATCATTGTGTGGGTCCCGGGAGGTAGGGCTTCACCTTGCCTCTGGCGCTTACTCTATTTATGCTGCATTCTCCTCAAAATCTGCTATTTTGTATCAGGTGGACTGTACATTACAAGCGGCAGGTGTTTTCTATTACACATATTAATACACACATGTGTTAATCTCTGCAAGTGATTGTGTCATGTCATGGCTAGTCTGTTCAAACTCCTAATTATAATGAGGTGTAATTAAAAAGGTTCAGAGCTATAGAGGAATGAAAAGGGAGTTTCAAGTACTGGAATAGGACACATGGAACTAAGGAGTGTATTTAGACAATACTTAGTCCTTAAAAATTAAAGTTTAGGTTAAAAAGTATTTAGAAAAAAAGGTAAAGTTTAGAGTTTTTGTGTATCTGTGTATCTATGCATATGCCTATATAATTATATACATAAATAAAATATTTTCAGAGCCATACACCAGTGCTTCTATGGCTCAGAAGCACACCCCCAGAAAATGTCTTGGAAAGAAAGATGTTTAGTTCTCTCCCTTCACAGAAGGTTTTGCAGGGGTGCTCACTGTGATTTGTTGCCCTTTGCAACCTCTTGCCCCGAAGGTCCCCTTCTTTTGTGGAAAAGTTCAGGCATGGGTATGAGGAGAATCCATCATTTCGAGGGAATGAAATGATGGCTTTGCTAAGATTTCCGTATATGTTGATCGTTTTATGGGGGTGGGGCAGAGGATTGGGCAAAAGCTAGAATTAGTCATATGAATTATGTGCTTGTTTGGACACTGGACCACTCCTGCCCCAATCAGTGCCAGCAGCCCTGCAGACGGCTTCAACACCACCTCTCTGTTTCCGTCCCGCTCGTATAAAATTCCATGCCAAGGTACAAACCACAATCCTCCCTTTCTTGGGTTTTCATGCAAAAACTATTTTAGAAGAAATTTAAAGGTCAAACCTTTAAGAGCTTTGAACAGAGAAGACTTCAGCTCCCTCGCTTCACAATACGGCTAAAGAAAATTTTTTTTAAAATTCTGATGAAAGTACTAATATTTTAGAGGTCTCTATTTTTCACTGAATTTAAGTTCCAGAGAGAAACAAAATCGCTATGTTGGAGGAATAGGATAAAAGAAGAAACAGTGAGGAAAGCATACGTATTAACAGCAGCACTCTCATGCCTGGGAGAGACCCCGAGGCCCCGTGTGTGAAGCACATCGCAATGCTGCTTTATGCAGAATGTCAGTAAACTCGGTCCCCAAACCATTTAAAATATTCAACATTGACCGAAACAGGCACAGACAGAAAATGCCCGTCCCTGCAGACATTGATGAATATACGCATAGAACACATGGCAGGAAGAACTTGGTGCTTTTCTTCCCCCCAATATTTTATTTGGCACACGTTTCAGATTAAATACCCATTCAGTATTCAGCGTCTGAGCAATAGAAAACACGTTTAAAAATCAGTCCTAGACAGCAGGAGAAACTCCCTGCAGGAGTTCTAGGAGGTGTGTTCTTCATTTAACAGATGTTTATTGATAATGGAAGGCAGGACGTTATATGACATATCTCTAGCTTCAAAGAACTTACACTGTAGTAGAGATCTTGAGGGAAGTCTGGTGATCAGAGAATTTAAGAGAGCTTTTGTATACCTATGTGAGAAAGGTATAAAACCACGAGGAGGAAAGAGAAGGTAAGAGTTTGGATTTCAGAATTACCGACTAAAAATAAGTGTCCAGGCAATCTGGAAAAGGCTTGAGGTAGCAACAATCGAACCATTATCTAATCCAGTGTGTCCTAAATGATAGAATGTGTCCCACTGGACTCCTTTGAGAAGCTGATGAAAGTTATGGGCCTGGAAATAGCCACCCTCAAGCTCTTACATAAAATGTCAGGGATTTGGAGTTCGAGTCCATGGGCTTTCGAGTTTAAATCAAATCCAGTTACTTTTACCATGGTTAATGTGTTATAACTATTTATTTACACACCTGTCTTCTCTACTAGAATATAAGCATTTCTAGGACATGATTGCTTTAAGTTTTATCTTTTATTCAAATCCCTCTCTGTTTAGCATTGTACTGTTGTATAGCAGGCCCTAAAAATGTGGACTGTCTGTGGCTTATCTCAACGTTGAGGTGTTAGGTTAATACTGCATCTTCCAAACGTCAACCATTCGAGTAACTTCCTCACAAGGTTTGCTGTAGATGTTTACTCCCCGCATTATTACTTATTAACTATAGCAGCATGACAATGATTTTTGGTGATAGAGCACTACATGATATCACATTTCTGAATGACCACATTACTTTCACTATATCTTCTTTCAGTCTAGCTTACACCAAGGAGAGAGTTCCAGTTTACTTCTGGTGTATCTTTAATACCTCTCTGACATTTGGAGGTCTTATTTTGAAACTAATATAGAGGCTTCTGTAGGCAGTAGTATCTGAATAGAAGTGAATAATATTGCTTTGTTTTTCTTTCATCATGTTTAGTCTTATGAAAAGTGACACTAATTTTCTATTTATAGAAGTAACAAAAATTTTAGCAAAAGAGGTAAAGCAAAAAGAGATGATTTAAAGAAAAGCAGATATCTGTTATCTATTGCTGTGTTAACAAACTATCCCAAAACATATTGGCTTAAAGAAACAATGACTTAATTCAAAAAGAGTCATGTACCAAAATGTTCATTGCAGCTCTATTTACAATAGCCCGGAGATGGAAACAACCTAAGTGTCCATCATCAGATGAATGGATAAAGAAGATGTGGCACATATATACAATGGAATATTACTCAGCCATAAAAAGAAATGAAATTGAGCTATTTGTAATGAGGTGAATAGACCTAGAGTCTGTCATACAGAGTGAAGCAAGTCAGAAAGAGAAAGACAAATACTGTATGCTAACACATATATATGGAATTTAAGAAAAAAAAACGTCATGAAGAACCTAGGGGTAAGACAGGAATAAAGACACAGACCTACTGGAGAACGGACTTGAGGATATGGGGAGGGAGAAGGGTGAGCTGTGACAAAGCGAGAGAGAGGCATGGACATATATACACTACCAAACGTAAGGTAGATAGCTAGTGGGAAGCAGCCGCATGGCACAGGGAGATCAGCTCGGTGCTTTGTGACCACCTAGAGGGGTGGGATAGGGAGGGTGGGAGGGAGGGAGATGCAAGAGGGAAGTGATATGGGAACATATGTATATGTATAACTGATTCACTTTGTTATAAAGAAGAAACTAACACACCATTGTAAAGCAATTATACCCCAATAAAGATGTAAAAAAAAAAAGAAACAGTGACTTATTAGGATTCTATGGACTGGCTGGGCTCAGCTGTGCAATTCTTTTCCACATGATGTCTGCTGGGATCATTCTTGTGGCTTGAGAGCTCGACTGGACTGGAAGGTCCAAGATGGCTTCACTCATGTTTCTGGCAGCCCAGCTGGATTGACCAGAATGGCTGTAGCTGGCTGAGCCCCTCTCTTTCTGTGTGTTCTCTCAACATTCTGTAGTCTGCCCTGGGCTTTTTTATATTGTGCATGATCCCAAGACAGTGAAAAAAAAAAAAAAAGCTGAAGAGTCTTTTAAGGCCTAGATCTGGAAGTCACAAAGCATCCCTCCTGCCCCATTTTATTGGTCAAAGCAAGTGACAGGACAAGTCTAGATTCAAGGGAAGAGAAATAGACTTTGCATCTTTTGGGGGCACTTGTGTTCAGAGGTGGAAGGGATCTTTGGCAATAATTTTGCAAACAATCTACCCTAAGTGGTAAGTAAGTAAACAATAGGACAAGTTGTAGCTGATATGGCAAGCACTGTGAAGGTGCTATTCATGTGACTGATATTAAGAAAACATTGTATTAACCTAAATATCTAAATAAAATAACCTAAGTATCACCCTAGATAGTCTGCTCATTAACATTTTTCAGTATCTAGTACATACGAAGCACAGTGCTACACACAAAGAGATTAAAGGAAAAAGATAAAACATACAAACTTGCCCTAGAACTGCTTACATTCTAGTGAGGGAGACAGGTGTGTCCCCTGTGAATAAATACTTATAACAAAATAATCACGATGCATATTGCAGTAAAACGTTTAAAATACAGGGTCCTGACATTTTATGTCAAGTTTTGAGTGTATATGGATTTTCTTGGACCCATGACTTTGATCAGATTCTTGAGAAAGTGTGAGACCCTAAAGGGACCTAAAAAGTACGGAGTGAATCAAGGGACACAGTGGTGTGATGCTCAAAGTGGCAGCCAATAACTGTGGTGGGAAGGAAAGAGCTTCACAGCAGTGGTAACACTTACACGTGGGAAGGAGGGATGATTGAGGATGAAGAATTGGCACAAGCTGGGAGCCAAGTAGATGTGGCAAGGGAGTGCAGCGGGTGAGATGGGTGGAGGGTAAGAAGGAGGAAAATGGTGCAAGAAGAAAGGAATGTGGGAGTTCCTTTGTGTGGAGAATGTGAGAGAAAGGAGAAGAAGGTTGATTTCAGGATGACTGAATTCTCCAGCTGGGGCAAATGGTAGAAAGGAGGAAGAGGAGGTTTTCTGAGAACATCTTTCCTGAATTCAGTTTTTCCCAAGTTGTAATTGAGGTGCCCATGTGATAAAACTAACCAACAACTGGAAATGCAGATCCTAAACTTACTACCTTGTGTCACGCACCTTGATAGGAATTGAGTATAAAGTAGTAAATATCCGGAGAGGGGTGATGCCCTTGTTCCCATGGAGCTTACATTCTAGTGGGGTTGGGGGCAGGGGGAAGATGGGGAGAGAGGCAATTCGTATGTAAGAGAGTTCAAGTAAGTTTTTACCTAATATTGAGTGCCAAGAATAAAATAAATTGACTTAATGTGATAGAGATGGTTGGGCCACCTAGTTTATCTAGGGCAGTATGGTAGTGGAAGGCAGCTTTAGGAAATACAACTGAAATCTAGGAAGGAGGACTATGCTGTTTTAACTGAATAAGGTAGGAAAATGATACTAGCAGGAGATTAACCTTTGCAATGTAATGTGGTCTCACCCAGAGACCAGATCATTATCAGGGACTCTTCCCCCAAGAGGGGAAGAGGGCACTGCAAGAGGGGAGGTCAGGGACTGCCTCCACCCATAGACATCTGAATCTTCCCCATCTCATGGTAGAACCATGTGGAGTAGATAATGAGAATAACTGAAAACCCACTCAGAAGCCAGGAGACCGGAGGATTGGAACCTCCAGAGAGAGGAGAACTACAGGAGAGAGGGAGAGGATGTATGGAAGATTGGCAAGAGGGAGTTACTCATCAACCACTGATGGGGTGGCCATATGGGGCTCCCAAAAAAGGGATTGAGACCCGCTGCTGTAGTCAGTACCCAGGAAGGAGTTACCTAGTCTAGGGATACCAACCTCAACTCCTCACCACACTTTGAATGTTGTACAGCGTGGATAACATCACTGTATGAGATGCATTACATCACCTGGATTTGAGTGAAGACCCAATCGTACAGTCTTCTGGGTTTTGTGGGTGCCGATTTGAGGCAGTGGTAGGACCCGATCCTCCCTCACCACCCACAGTCAGTTGTCTGGATCCTTCCAATGGGGCTGACAGGTTGGATCCCCAGAGGCAATTCTACCAGAAAGACTTTGTCTTCTGATCACTCTACTCCATCCACACCAAATTATATTCACTTTTTGAGAAAATTATATTTTTTAGTCACTCATTTCTGAACACATCTTCCCCTACCCCATGAAGAATGTGTACAATTAAGTTAACTAAATCAGTCCATGTCAGTGATTCTGACCACATCTACTTTGGCTGGTGCCAGGATGTCCCTCTAGATTTAAGATGAACGAGGATAAATTAGTTCATGATATGTGTTGAAATTATAGGATCCTGTAGAAGAAAACCTTCAGTGATGGGAACATATTATTTTAGAGCTTATAAAGATTTCAAATATTGGATTGGCAAAAAAGAATTTAAATGATTGGATCTATTGTCTTTTATTTTTTCAAACCTTAGATAAAATATAATTTAAAAACCACAGCCTTTGAGTGTTACTAGCTACTGGGAGTAGAAGAGGCAGCAGTGGTCCAGTTCCTACTTGCCATACCTCTAGACCTCATTCTGAGAGAAGAGGTTTGAGTTTGGGAATAATTTTAGCCCATTATTTTTCTGCCATTTGCTGTTATTGCCCTGATTCAACCCATAAACCGGGATGTTACTCAAAATACAAAATATTCTTAGGGGAGAATTACTCCATCAAACACAGGCACTATATAGGACTCTAAAATGCTAAAAAGCTTTAACACATTACAGAAAAGTTGAAGAAAAATGTGGGCTTGGTATTCTGGAGCTGCTGTCTTCCTTTATCCCATTTGTTTGTGACCTTGACTCTTTGAATCATGATGTAAACCCATGGAATCAAATCACTGACATGCTTACGATTCCCTAGTCCCATTTGGTAGTTATTAATACTGTAGAGGTGGCAAGGACACTTTCAATACACAGTGCCTCCTGTCAACAGAAAATGGAAACCTTCCGGTAAAGTCCCCAGGGCACTGGCTTTGTCTTAAGTCTACACACTCTTAAAGTGGGGGTCTGAACTATTCACCCTAAACTCAATATAAGTGAGGGAAAGATAACAGTGTTGGAATCCTTTGGGTTGGTAACAGAGAATACCACTACTCCTACTACTACTACCACCACCAGTAATAACAGTACAAACGATAGCAATTACCTGGTACTTACTATGTTCTAGGGACTGTTCTAAGTGCGTCCCTATGTTAACCAATTTAATCCTTAACAAAAGCAATAGATACCATTACTACCCTCCTTTTATAGATGAGGAAACTGAGGCCCAGAGAGGTCACGAATCTGAGAAGTGGGGGGGGAGTGGGGACAGGTGTTGGTACTGGCAGGTGAGTGATACTGATAATAAAAGTGAAGAAGATATAATTTTTCTGTGCGGTGAAGAAAGTCACTTGGGAAAAAACTGCTCCATCTTTTGAGAGGAGAGAGTGGTGTCCAGCTCCCTGCCCCCCGGCCTTGGCGGCCCAGGCTCCACACCACCGTCAGAAGGACCAGGATAGAGGCCATGGGAGGTTGCTCTGAGACTTTTCTCGTGCACCACCATGCATCCCAGAATCATAAAATGTTTAAGCTGGAAGGATGGCTGGGGTTGCACTCAACTCCCTCATTTTACAGACAGGGCCCTGAGTTGCCACGCAGACTTCATGTTGAGTTACAGGCACACCTTTTCTTTGGTCCTAGGAAAGCCAACTTTCAGGGGCCAGTTAACTGAGCAGGCATCTGGAGCCCAGTTTTTCGTGTCTTTCTTTACCTCCTGTTCCTGACAGGCAGGAATGACCAGGATAAAGTTTAGGATAAAGGGGAGGAGATTCTACCAGATTTTATGAAGAAACATGTGACTGGGAAGGAGACCTTCAGGCGAGACTTATTTATAGCTCTGTGGAGTACATGGATTCTTGTTTATGGGTATGAGTATTCAGGAACTATGAAGCTTAAATTCTTTTAATGTTCTTAGTAGGTGCACTGGAGGATTCATTCTTTTAGTTTTCATATTGATGCTATTAGGAAAAGTCAGATTTCTTCGCAGGAAGTCCTGCTGACCCCTCTTCAGGAGGGCTGCTAACCTGGGCATTCTTTGCTGCTCCACATTTCGGACACGGAATCATCACTGTTACCTGGACCCTTTGGATGTGGACTGATGGATGCCAGTCTGGCATGTTGGAGAGAAGGTACTTTCCATTGCTGCTGTGTTTTACCCCAGCTTCTCATTACTGTGCCTACAAAATCATTCCCTTTTCTACCTCCTAATTACGCCTCTGGGTCCTTTGCGGGAAGGGTGACATTTTGCTCTCGGCAGGCAGTATTATAGTATAGAACTGTCCTTGTCACTCTTTATTGCTTTCAATAACTACGAAATCTCTCACAAGATGTCTAGAGCTTCATAAACATGTGTTGATGGTCAAGGTCACAGACAATGCAGCAGAGGAAGGAAGACAGTGAGCACACTATTATAAATACATGTGTAGCTTGAAGATGACCCTTTCAGATGTGGGGATATTCGCTGGCTATAGGAAGGAAGTGATGACATGCAGTAATAATTCTGTTTTACTTAGGGAATTCTCCAGGTGTGTGCTAATGCTTGCTGTGTTTTATCTGATGGGCATCTTGGCGTGAGAGAGGTTTAAACATTTATCATAGTTATTTCATGACAATACATGGTGAATTAAAAGGTAAGAATGGAGCAAAAGTACAGTTTGGATAGTCGAAAGTTGGCATATGATACATAATTTTAACTTAGTAAATCTAAGTGAAACATGTAAGGACAATGTACCTTACATTTTGTCATTCTGAACTCTTAAAAACCAGAGGCGTTGAGGGATCCTTTTTTTTTTTTTTTTTTTT